CACTACTCGTATTGCTAGACCTTGCTCGTATATCAGTTGTGATCACGTGACGCTCGGCAGTACAAAGCGTACTACACGTGCTGCTCGTATTGCAAGACCCTCGCTCGTACATGAGTTGTGATCACGTGACGCTCGGCAGTACAAAGCGTACTACACGTGCTGCTCGTATTGCAAGACCCTCGCTCGTACATGAGTTGTGATCACGTGACGCTCGGCAGTACAAAGAGTACTACACGTACACTACTCGTATTGCAAGACCTTGCTCGTACATGAGTTGTGATCACGTGACACTCGGCAGTACAAAGCGTACTACACGTACACTGCTCGTATTGCAAGACCCTCGCTCGTTTATCAAATTAATATTTATTTAAAAAAATTTGACTCGTCTTGCAAAACACTCGCAGACCAAGTTACTCGCAATCCAAGGTTTTACTCTGTACTTTGATTATATATATTGCGTCATTCGTGCCAACAACAACGAGAGTATATGACGTCACAAAGCTCCGCCCCCGCCTCCCCAAAATAAATAAAAAATGCTTCACATCGCTTTGAACTATTGTCATTGTAGTGCGTGTTTAACGTGGCGCTGCACTCTGATGTTGTAGGAGAAAATATTTATTACAAAGTCTATTTTAGTAAGTAGAACGTGTTGTCTATATTTATTTATAGTTGCGTATTTTGATGTGACGTCACATTTCTCAACCCCCCTCGTCACACATCGTCACAAATGTCCGACCCCCCACCACCCCAGGTGCGTGACGTCATTTATGGACGGCCCCTAAGAGCCACATAGCTGAGCGAATACTGTGCGGAAGAGCCATTGGCTGAGATGTTGCCGATCATATATTTTGTTTTATTTTGAAGAACACGCTAAGACAAAGACAAAGATCCCCCGTGTGGCCTTAGCAGACTGTAGGGGCAAGTGCTGTGAAGGCCAGAACGGTACACGACGGGATGAGTGGCCAGCACTACGCCCGGCCGCCTTTGTCTCCCCAGTGGCGATGTTTACACACCGCACCAGGTACTCATTTGAGGCTGAGTCGACCTAGGGGAGGCCCGGGACCGGTTCAGGTAATCGTCACTGGTGTTGGCCGTGAGCGGGAATCGAACCCGGGTCGCCAGGTTCATAGCGCAGCGCGCTAACCGCTACACTACCGCTCCCCACACACACACTAACACACACACTAACACACACACTAACACACACACTAACACACACACTAACACACACTAACACATACACACTAACACACACACACTAACACGCACACACTAACACACACACACTAACACACACTAACACACACACTAACACACACTAACACACACACACTAACACACACACTAACACATACACACACACTAACACACACACTAACACACACACTAACACACACACTAACACACACACTAACACACACACTAACACACACTAACACATACACACTAACACACACACACTAACACGCACACACTAACACACACACACTAACACACACTAACACACACACTAACACACACACACTAACATACACACACTAACATACACACAGACAACAAAGATAAAGATCCCCCATATAGCCTTAACAGACTGTAGGGGCAAGTGCTGTTAGCGAGCACCTATGAAGGCCGGAACGGTACACGAAGGGGTAGGTGGCCAACACCACGCCCGACCGCCTTTGTCTCCCTAGACACACACTAACACACACACACTAACACACACACACTAACACACACATGTACATGACGTGTAATGAATACACATTCTCTCACGCACCGTGTGATCGAATCCGACTCTGAAAGTGAAACCAGAACTTGCGTGCGTTACTGACTGGTGTGTTCGTGCTACGGGCCTGGCGCAGTGGGTGGGTTGTGTGGGTGGGTGGGAGTATAGGGGGTGGGTGGGTGTATAGGGGGTGGGTTGTGTGGGTGGGTGGGAGTATAGGGGGTGGGTTGAGTGGGTGGGTGGCAGTATAGGGGGTGGGTTGTGTGGGTGGGTGGAAGTATAGGGGGTGGGTTGTGTGGGTGGGTGGAAGTATAGGGGGTGGGTTGTGTGGGTGGGTGGGAGTATAGGGGGTGGGTTGTGTGGGTGGGTGGGTGGGTGGGAGTATAGGGGGTGGGTTGTGTGGGTGGGTGGGTGGGAGTATAGGGGGTGGGTTGTGTGGGTGGGTGGGAGTATAGGGGGTGGGTTGTGTGGGTGGGAGTATAGGGGGTGGGTTGTGTGGGTAGGTGGGTGTATAGGGGGTGGATTGTGTGGGTTGTGTGGGTTGGTGGGTGTATAGGGGGTGGGTTGTGTGGGTGGGGGGGGTCAAACTTTCAGAAGCCCCGACTCCGTGTTTGAGATTATGGAAAATGGACGCGGAAAAAAAACAGTCCGTAACCACAGAATTGTCAACGGCGAACGGGCTGAATTTAAACTCCATACCATCACGGGATTTTCCGAAGCCCTCGTACCCAGAGCGACGACCAAAAGAAATTGATGCACACGCCAGAGTTGTCATTCCAGAGTGCATCACGAGACTCTGAACCGCTCGTGTCCCCGTGGCAAGCCCACGAACAGGAGAGAGGGAGAGAGAGAGAGACAGGGCAATCCAGCCCCTCTCGCGGACGGCAAACGGATAAGTGAAGTTTAGTACGAGGGGGTTGGTTTCATGACACGGGGAATTCACGCTCGGCTGTTACAGCCGTGGCTTTATATTCCCCACGTAAGCCACCTTCAAGCAAGGCTTTCACTCCTCTCTGTGACAGACTGCAGACGCTGTTGGCTCACCACCAGCAGCAGCAGCTCAGCCCACGAGATTGATTTCTCTGCGTTTTGTAGCGCGATTGCTTAAACGGACGACGACCATCAACGAACGTCGAGAATTGACGGCCTGTCAGTCGGACGGCTTCAGGCACATTCGTCATCCAGATTATCTGTGACGGAGTGATTCGGTGGCCCGGGCCGGGCCGGGTGGGTGGTTGGGTGGCTTAGGGAGTGTGGTAGTGCACGTACACGCGTGCGGGGTCCACAGCAGGTGCTGCTGCTGGTGGTGGTGGAGTTGTAGGCTGGAGGCGCGCGTGAGTTGTGTGAGCTGTATCGCGTGCTGAGAGTCGAGAGGTGTTCTATCTGGGCAGTACAGGTGCTAGAGACAGTACAGGTTCTAGAGGCAGTACAGGTTCTAGAGGCAGTACAGGTGCTGGAGTACAGATACTAGAGACAGTACAGGTTCTAGAGGCAGTACAGGTTCTAGAGTGCAGATACTAGAGACAGTTCAGGTGCTAGAGTACAGATACTAGAGACAGTACAGGTGCTAGAGGCAGTACAGGTGCAGATACTAGAGACAGTACAGGTGCTAGAGACAGTACAGATACTAGAGGCAGTACAGATACTAGAGGCAGTACAGGTGCTAGAAGCAGTACAGGTGCTAGAGGCAGTACAGGCAGTACAGGTGCTAGAGTACAGGAGCCAGAGGCAGTACAGGCAGTACAGGTGCTAGAGTACAGATACTAGAGGCAGTAAAGATACTAGAGACAGTACAGATACTAGAGACAGTACAGATACTAGAGGCAGTACAGGTGCTAGAGGCAGTGCAGATACTAGAGGCAGTACAGGTGCTAGAGACAGTACAGATACTAGAGGCAGTACAGATACTAGAGGCAGTACAGATACTAGAGGCAGTACAGATACTAGAGACAGTACAGGTGCTAGAGGCAGTACAGGTGCTAGAGGCAGTACAGGTGCTAGAGGCAGTACAGGCAGTACAGGTGCTAGAGTACAGGAGCCAGAGGCAGTACAGGCAGTACAGGTGCTAGAGTACAGGTGCTAGAGACAGTACAGGTGCTACAGGCAGTACAGGCAGTACAGGTGCTAGAGGCAGTACAGGTGCTAGAGGCAGTACAGATACTAGAGGCAGTACAGGTGCTAGAGACAGTACAGGCAGTACAGGCAGTACAGATACTAGAGGCAGTACAGGTGCTAGAGACAGTACAGGCAGTACAGGCAGTACAGGTGCTAGAGGCAGTACAGGCAGTACAGGTGCTAGAGACAGTATAGGCAGTACAGGCAGTACAGATACTAGAGGCAGTACAGACAGTACAGGTGCTAGAGACAGTACAGGTGCTAGAGACAGTACAGATAGTAGAGGCAGTACAGGCAGTACAGATACTAGAGGCAGTACAGGCAGTACAGGTGCTAGAGGCAGTGCAGGCAGTACAGTTGCACGAGGCGTCAGCAGGTGACATTGCACGCCCGTCTCCGTAGCAAGGCGGCCGCCCGCTGTGCCCGCGTTGTGTCGCCATGCGCCGTGGACGCGTGGCGCCCTGCACGCTGTTGGCCGGCCTGCTGGCCGGCGCGTGGCTGTGCGCCGTGGGGGTCGCGGTGGTGGCCTGGGTGGAGGTGAGGGCCGGGATGGAGGAGCTGCACGAGGTAAGAGGAGCTTCACCACGGAGCCAGCATCGCGACGCGCGTGTTTGCGGGTTTTGTTCCGGCTTTGGCAGATTTCGTTTCGAGGCTCAGAGTGTGAGGCCTTCATTGGCGTAAATGAAAGGGAATTATAAATTAATGGAACCCCACCCCACCCCCACCTTAAAAAAAAAAATTAAACCATCCCCAAGATAAGCACGGACAATCGCGAGTTGACAATTGAACCGAGAGACGAGGATGAGGCACGCGGAGATTGGGGGTGGGGGAATGGGTGGGGGGGGGTGGTGGTGTGGGTGGGGGTGGTGGTGGGGGTGGTGGTGTGGGTGGTGTGGGTGGGGGTGGTGGGGGTGGGGGTGGTGGTGTGGGTGGTGTGAGGGCGCGGTGTGGGTGGTGTGGGTGGTGGAGGTGGTGGTGTGGGTGGGGGTGGTGGTGGTGGTGAGGGGGGGTGGTGTAGGTGGGGGTGGTGGTGGTGGGGTGGTGGTGTGGGTGGTGTGGGTGGGAGTGGTGGGGGGGGGGCGGTGGGGGTGGTGGGTGGGGGGTGGTGTAGGTGGGGGTGGCGGCGGCGGTGGCGGTGGTGAGAGACGCGAATCTGAACGGCGCCGAATCTCGCAACTGACCCGTGGCGAGGTTGACCTCGCGCTGACCGCCGAGGCAAGGGTCAGCGAGGCTGGCTGGGGGTTGTGGGTAGCGACTGGCCAGCAGGACGGCGCTGAGCGAGATCGACCACTGCGTCTTCTTCGCACGGATTCGGCAAATGTAAAAAAAAAGTATCCCCGAGACAGGCCGTGGGGCAGCGCGTCCTCCAGCGGCGAGCCGATCGTCCTTGTGAGCGCCGTCCTCAACACTGCGAAGAGCAGCGAACAACAACAACAACAGCAGCAGCAGTAGCAGCAGCAGCAGCAGCTAAAAACTAATTTCTCGGACCGGTTTCGACGCGCGGGTGTCTCAGCAGCAGGGACTTTAACGGCGCTCCCTTTCTTTGATCCACCCGCAGACTGCCTTGGGCAAGCTGGTGAAGGCCGAGAAACTGAAGCTCCGCGTGCAACAGGAAGGTGAGCGTGAGAATCGACGGCGGTGCGAGGCGCGAGACCCCGGTCGAGGGGAATCCGAACCGCGCATCACCAGCGTGGTGAAGTATGGTCAAACACCCCCCCCCCCTTCCTCCCCCCTCATCCTCCTGCGAAGTACGGGGGAGGGGTGAGGAGGCCTTCATCCAGCAGTAGATTGAGATTGATCGTCGTACTTTAGATTGTTAATGTTGTGGCTTGGCTCTCCAACACACAACCGGTGTGCTGTGCTAGTACACTATACACTACACTATGCACTACACTATACACTACACTATACACTACACTATGCACTACACTATACACTACACTATACACTACACTACACTATACACTACACTATACACTACTATACACTACACTATACACTACACTATATACTACACTATACACTACACTATACACTACACTATACACTGCACTATACACTACCATACACTACACTATACACTACTACACACTAAACTATACACTACACTACTATATACACTACACTATACACTATACTATACACTACACTATACACTACACTATACACTACACTATACACTACACTATACACTACTATACACTACACTATACACTACATTATACACTACTATACACTACACTATACACTACACTATACACTACTATATACTACACTATACACTACACTATACACTACACTACTACACACTACACTATACACTACTATATACACTACTACACACTACACTATACACTACACTATACACTACACTATACACTACACTATACACTACACTATACACTACACTATACACTACACCATACACTACTATACACTACACTATACACTACACTATACACTACACTACTATACACTACACTATGCACTACACTACTATACACTACACTACTATACACTATACACTACACTATACACTACACTATACACTACACTATATACTGCACTATACACTACACTATGCACTACACTATACACTACACTATACACTACACTACTATACACTCCACTATACACTACTATATACACTACACAACTATACACTACACTATTACACTACACTCTACACTACACTACTATACACTACACTATTACACTACACTCTACACTACTATACACTACACTACTACACACTCACCTACTATACACTACACTACTATACACTACTATACACTACACTACTATACACTACGATACACTACACTATACACTACACTATACACTACACTACTATACACTACTATACACTACACTACTATACACTACACTATACACTACTATACACTACACTATACACTACACTATACACTACACTATATACTACACTATACACTACACTATTATACACTACTCTACACACTAGTGCTGTGCTAGTGACGAATTGGCCACGTTCTGTTTACGCGACACAACCCTTACTAGTTGGCTGTGTCGGGTGGTGGCGGTTTTAACGACACAACATTTATATATTTATGCGATCTAACACCCCCAAAACAACCTCTATTATGGATGATATTGGTCGCGAAAGGCCGCCAAGCGTTAGACTGAGATGGTTTTGCTGCTATAAATGTTCAAACGATGGGCCACTTTGTTGAGCGATTATAATTTGTGGCCAGGCCGCGTGTGAAAAATAATTTCACATCCCAGCGGGGCTTTGCCTGGTGGTGATGGTGGATGGTTCAGTGTTGTGTTTGTTTGTGTGAATTGTTTACCATTCTGATACAATGCACTACTATCGTGTTTTTTTTGTGTGACTGTTTGTTGTTGTGACGTTCTTACCCCTTGCCCCGACTGGACATCTGTGGGGAAAAAACAGAGCTTTATAGCTCATCGGCTTTCTCTTGCAGCAGACGTACATAAACATTGCGGTTCTGAGATTGATGGAGGGGCCCTAAGGGCTTATAGGCATCGTGGCGGCGGGCAGAAGGGGGAGAGAGATTATTATGCTCTGCTGCTAAACTTCTGCAATGACTCATCAATCAATGAAGATGAAGACTTAATAAAGTAGTACATTGGGGACTTTTCTTTTTTAAATAGCTCACGGAATTACAATGATGATGCCGACGACGATACATCACCAATCAAAGTTGTAGGGCCCTGAGGCGCCGAGGCGCTGGGTGGGATTTCCCTAGCCGCGATGAATTTTCATCCCCGAAACTTCGCTGTCATCCCCTGGGAGGGAGTCGGGTCGGGGGTTTGAGGGGTGTTTACTAATTGTAATGTTACTATAAAAATTGGCAAAAAATTAACTCAAAAACTTTATCGTGTAACCAGGTTAAGGCGCCACGGAACAATTCAGCTTTCTTTTCAGAAGCGACCTCGCTATCACGAATGATAGGTCTACGAAGTGGCTCATCACCACCACCAGCATCATCATCATCACGTGGACATTGAAAGCAGCAGCCGATTACTCTAAGCGCGTGATGTTGATGCCAAATGTGGAGGGGAAACCCGGGGAGCCCGGGGGAAAATCCTCGCTACCACGGAGAGAGAGAGAGAGAGACACGCAAACTCCAAATATACAGCAGCAGCAGGCGTCAGGGTAGGGATCGAACCCACGACCTCCTGTATACCTGGCGAGGTAGTTAACATCTTATAGCCACCGTGATGATGACGATGAGAGAGACACGCAAACTCCAAATATACAGCAGCAGCAGGCGTCAGGGTTGGGATCGAACCAACGACCTCCTGTATACCGGGCGAGGTAGTTAACATCTCACAGCCACCGCAGCGTACATACATCACAACGTGCTGATCGTGATGAGAGGAGTTATCATTATTATTGTTATCATTATTATTGTTATCATTATTATTGTCATCATTATTATTGTTATCATTGTTATTGTCATCATTGTTAGTGTCATCATTATTATTGTCATCATTATTATTGTTATTATTATTGTCATCATTATTATTGTCATCATTATTATTGTTATCATTGTTATTGTCATCATTATTATTGTTATCATTGTTATTGTTAGCATTGTTATTGTCATCATTATTATTGTTATCATTGTTATTGTTATTATTATTGTCATCATTATTATTGTTATCATTGTTATTGTTATCATTGTTATTGTCATCATTATTATTGTTGTCATTGTTATTTTTATCATTGTTATTGTTATCATTATTATTGTCATCATTATTATTGTTATCATTGTTATTATTATTGTCATCATTATTATTGTTATCATTGTTATTGTCATCATTGTTATTGTCATCATTATTATTGTTCGATAGCCACCACGCCATTAACGAAGCCTCTACCTGTGCTGCTCCTCACTTCAGACGAGCGGCTCGCAAGCACCGCACCGACCCGGGGCCCAGACGGGGACACTGAAAGACCTTCCGCTCATCTCACACGTAAGTTCACTCAGCACGTGCCACGTGTAAGTTCACACACCACGTGTCACGTGTAAGTTCACACACCACGTGTCACGTGTAAGTTCACACACCAGGTGTCACGTGTAAGTTCACTCACCAGGTGTCACCTGTAAGTTCACTCACCAGGTGTCACCTGTAAGTTCACTCAGCACGTGTCACGTGTAAGTTCACACACCACGTGTCACCTGTAAGTTCACTCAGCACGTGTCACGTGTAAGTTCACACACCACGTGTCACCTGTAAGTTCACTCAGCACGTGTCACGTGTAAGTTCACTCACCAGGTGTCACCTGTAAGTTCACTCAGCACGTGTCACGTGTAAGTTCACTCGGCACGTGTCACGTGTAAGTTCACTCGGCACGTGTCACGTGTAAGTTCACTCGGCACGTGTCACGTGTAAGTTCACTCAGCACGTGTCACGTGTAAGTTCACACACCACGTGTCACGTGTAAGTTCACTCACCACGTGTCACGTGTAAGTTCACTCAGCACGTGTCACGTGTAAGTTCACTCAGCACGTGTCACGTGTAAGTTCACTCAGCACGTGCCACGTGTAAGTTCACTCAGCACGTGTCACGTGTAAGTTCACTCAGCACGTGTCACGTGTAAGTTCACTCAGCACGTGTCACGTGTAAGTTCACTCAGCACGTGCCACGTGTAAGTTCACTCAGCACGTGTCACGTGTAAGTTCACTCAGCACGTGTCACGTGTAAGTTCACTCAGCACGTGTCACGTGTAAGTTCACACACCACGTGTCACGTGTAAGTTCACACACCACGTGTCACCTGTAAGTTCACTCAGCACGTGTCACGTGTAAGTTCACTCAGCACGTGTCACGTGTAAGTTCACTCAGCACGTGTCACGTGTAAGTTCACTCAGCACGTGTCACGTGTAAGTTCACTCAGCACGTGTCACGTGTAAGTTCACACACCACGTGTCACGTGTAAGTTCACTCACCAGGTGTCACCTGTAAGTTCACTCACCAGGTGTCACCTGTAAGTTCACACACCACGTGTCACGTGTAAGTTCACTCAGCACGTGTCACCTGTAAGTTCACACACCACGTGTCACGTGTAAGTTCACTCACCAGGTGTCACCTGTAAGTTCACTCACCAGGTGTCACGTGTAAGTTCACACACCACGTGTCACCTGTAAGTTAACTCAGCACGTGTCACGTGTAAGTTCACACACCACGTGTCACGTGTAAGTTCACATACCAGGTGTCACGTGTAAGTTCACTCACCATGTGTCACCTGTAAGTTCACTCACCATGTGTCACCTGTAAGTTCACACACCACGTGTCACGTGTAAGTTCACACACCAGGTGTCACCTGTAAGTTCACTCAGCACGTGTCACGTGTAAGCTCATCCACCAGGTGTCACCTGTAAGTTCACTCACCACGTGTCACCTGTAAGTTCACTCACCAGGTGTCACTGTAAGTTCACTCACCAGGTGTCACCTGTAAGTTCACTCACCAGGTGTCACGTGTAAGTTCACTCACCACGTGTCACCTGTAAGTTCACTCACCAGGTGTCACCTGTAAGTTCACTCACCAGGTGTCACTGTAAGTTCACTCACCAGGTGTCACCTGTAAGTTCACACACCACGTGTCACGTGTAAGTTCACTCACCAGGTGTCACCTGTAAGTTCACTCACCAGGTGTCACGTGTAAGTTCACTCACCACGTGTCACCTGTAAGTTCACTCACCAGGTGTCACCTGTAAGTTCACTCACCAGGTGTCACCTGTAAGTTCACACACCACGTGTCACCTGTAATTTCACTCAGCACGTGTCACGTGTAAGTTCACCCACCAGGTGTCACCTGTAAGTTCACACACCACGTGTCACGTGTAAGTTCACTCACCAGGTGTCACCTGTAAGTTCACTCACCAGGTGTCACCTGTAAGTTCACTGACCACGTGTCACGTGTAAGTTCACTCACCAGGTGTCACCTGTAAGTTCACTCACCAGGTGTCACGTGTAAGTTCACTGACCAGGTGTCACCTGTAAGTTCACTCCCCAGGTGTCACGTGTAAGTTCACACACCAGGTGTCACGTCTAAGTTCACTCACCAGGTGTCACGTGTAAGTTCACTCACCAGGTGTCACCTGTAAGTTCACTCACCAGGTGTCACCTGTAAGTTCACTCACCACGTGTCACCTGTAAGTTCATACATAAGTTCTCACACTCACACTCTCTCTCACACTCTCTCACACTCACTCTCTCTCACACTCTCTCACACTCACACTCTCTCAATCTCTCTCACTCTCTCACACTCTCAATCTCTCTCTCTCTCCGCTAGACGTGAACGTGGCTGCACGGCAGCGCTCCCGCCTGGCCTGGGGCGACGGCGGAGCCGGCGGCAGCGTTGCGAGCCTGCGAGGCGGCATGCTCTACGCCAACGGCAGCCTCACCGTGCCGCGCGCGGGCAGCTACTTCGTCTTCTCGCAGGTGGGCCGACGTTCAGCGCCACCGCACCACCGGCTTGGCTATCGTACGGTGCGTGCGAGAGGTTCAACGTGCGCACGCGTACACCTGTGCATACACACACGTGTACACGTGTACGTGTACAACAACAACAACAACCGCCATTCGCCACTAAGTGGCGGTGACCTCACCACGACGCTTGTGCCAGGCCATGTGCACCTTGAGGCCACGTGAAGTGTCGAATGCCCGCTGGCAGGAGGTCACGGGGCAGACCCAGCAGGTGCCACGGGTCGACTGACTGAGATGACTGAGATGACTGGCTGGTGCACCACCTGTGCACCCTACTGTGCCAACCTGCTGTGCATTAGCCACCCGGAGCTCCGCTCGTTGTTGTGAGCGTCGCTCCTCCGCCCTCCATTGTTGTTGTTGGAAGGCGACTGCCTCCAACTGCCCAATAGCAGCGTCCTTCACGAGCCTCCTCCACAGAGGCCGATCTTGACACCGCTGGTACCAGTCATCGGCAAGTCCACTCAGCTCCACGTCCTCCTGTACCACATCACTCCATCTCTTCTCTAGCCCATGCCGCGCCCATTTAGCCCCCTCTATCCAGCCAAGCAAAAGCTGTTCAGGCATGCGGTGACTGGGCATGCGGGCTGCATGACCCAGCCAACGCAGCCTTGCCTGCCGGAGGAGCTCACCGATGGGACCTTGCCCAGATCTTTCAAGGATTTGTGAGCTCCTCACACAATCCAGCCTGGTTAAACCCAGGATGGATCGTAGGCAGGCCAGCCTAAATGTTTCCAATCAGTGAATATGCTCCATTAAGGGGGTCCTCCTTTCGCAAGCATAGTGAAGGGAGGGAATGACCATGGCCGAGAAGACCTGAAGCTTAGTGCGGAGCGACAGAACAGGTAGCTTCCACACAGCGTTACGCAACCGATGAAAAGATAATGCCGCTCGACTGATTCTGAGTGCGTCCTCTGCTGTCAAACCGGAGCCAGTCATGAGCACACTGCCCAAGTATGGGAAACTCTCTCCACAACTGCCCCATCACCGATTGGGAGTTGTGGGGGTGGAGTGCCGATGGTAGAAAATACCCAGGCAGGTGCTTAGTTTTGGTGGGGCTGATGGTAAGGCCCCACCTCTGAGTTGCACGCTCCAGTTTCAGCTGCAGCGCCTCCAACTCCTCCTCTGAGTGAGCAGCAATTACCAGATCATCGGTATACATAACGTGGTTGAGCAATAGGGAGCCATCCCTTGACCGCACCCGGGCATCGATCAGCCTCCCATTTTATCTGTACCAGATAGAAATTCCTCTGGTACAGCCATAAACGGTTTCACAAACAACGTGGTCAAAAAAGATGTTAAATAATGTTGGAGCCAGTGGACATGCCTGTCGCACTCCAAGGTGAACGGGGAATGGCTCCGACTCCCGGCCAAGTAGTTTTACCCGGGCCCGCTCACCATCATGAAGGTTCTAAATGATCCCGAGCAGAGGGTCAGGGACTCCGAAAGCACGAAGAACAACCCAGAGTCCAGGCCTACTGATGGTATCATAGGCCTTGACCAAGTCAATAAAGCAGAGATGTTTGGTCTTGTTGGAATTGCCTACACTTCTGCTGTAGCAGAAGGACAGAGAATGTGGCATCTGTGCAGGACCGCCTTTTCCTGAAACCGCATTGGGGCTCCGCAAGCCTCTCCTCAGCGTGCCTGGCAAGGCGATGTTGAATAATCCTTTCCAGGACCTTTCCCTGAGGAGTGAGATGCCCTTGTAGTTGTTACAGTCTGCATGGCCCCCTTTCTTAAAGAGTGGGACCACCAGGGCATCCTTACAATATTGCGGAACACGTCCAGTGGTCCAGACTATGATGTCATGATGTCATGTATGGAAGTCTGTGCACAAACGCCACCCTCCCTCAGCATTTCGCTTGGGAGATCATCTCTGCCCGGTGCCTTTCCTGGTCTCAGACTCTGGATCGCCTTTAGTACTTCCTCAACAGATGGCACCTCAGCCAGCCACTCACAGGGGGTGACTTCTTCTTCCAATATTTGAGGCACCGCAGCCTCAGCAGGGTCATCCCCACTTTGTCCCATGATGCTTTCCATATCGATGGATTTCCCCTTCGCCAGGACTTCACAGAAATGCTCAGCAAATCTGCAAACTTGTTCCTGGGGGTTGGGGATTGGATCACCGTTTTTTCCTCTAATGATGGTAATAGGTGTATCGCTGCAGGTTACTTTTTTGATGTAGTTAAATAGCGATATGTGATCGTGGGCCATTGAGGCAGACTCCATCTCCTCAGCAACCCGCTGCCACCACCCATCCTTGCAGCGCTTCCCGGCTCTCCGACCCTCCGAGTGAAGGCTGCGGTAAGCCTCCTCATTCTCTGACATGGGATGCTGTAGACGATAACCAGCTTGAACACCTCCTCGGTCAGCCAGGTCTGGACCACATACCCAAAGCAGCCATTCCAGCTGCCTGAGTCACAGTCCTAAACCTCGCCCATTTACCCTCGACATCAGGAGGAGTGGGGGACGATGCCAACCCCAGCCGCAAGCGATGATGAAATTCTCGCTTGCAACTTTCATCAGCTAGCTGAGACCAGGCCACCTTAGATTTGAATGGGGTGCTGGGTGTAGACCCACCACTGGAGTGGAAGAATGGCAGGCGCATCATACAGATGACAAGTCGATGGTCAGAGGGCAGTTCAGCTCCACGGTAGGTCCTGGTGTCAAGGACATGGGCCTGTATTCGCTGTTCCATCACTATGTAGTCCAGCAGATGTTCTTGCTTGGACCCGGCATGCATCCATGATGCTGTGTGGATGCGCCGATGCCGGAAAAGAGTATTGGTAATTACAAGCCCATGGGCTGCACAAAAATCTATCAACCTCCTACCGTTGTTATTGAACTGATCTGGCCCATACCTTCCAATCACTCAAGACAAGGACCCAGCATCATGACCAACTCGGGCATTGAAGTCACCCAACAAGATGACTCTATCCAGAGGGGCCACTTTAGCTAGCACCTGTGACAGGAGGTCATATTAGGCATCTGACTCATCGGCCTTGCCTGCATCCCTCCACGGATGTTCGTCTTCGGTGGAGGCATAAGTAACCACGACCACCACTCCTCACCTTCCGTTGATGGGAAGGTGAGCCCAAAGTAGCCTGGGGCTTACAGCTTCCCAAACTTCACCACCACGCCCCCTTCATTCTTTTGTTCAGAAGAAGAGCCACTCCCTGTTGTTTGGTAGTCTCCTGCCATGAGTAGAGGACTGTCCACCCCTCATGGTGGCAGGAGCCAGAACCGGTCCACCGGACCTCCTGAATACCACAGAGATCCAGGCGGTACCGGTCCAGCTCCCGACAGAGGAGTGGCAGCCTCTCCTCCGGAGTGAGCGTTCTAACATTCCACGTGGCCATCTGTAGTGGTTTTTTGTTGTTTCTGGAGGAGCCCCGAGGGTAAAGATTCAGTCTCCTGGTACATACGCGTACACACACGTGTACGTGTACACCTACACACACGTGTACGTGTACACATTGAGAGTGCAGTTTGTTGCTGGCCACTTGACGTTTTGGGGCTTTGGGCCTGTGCTCGTCAAACTCAATCATCATCGTCACCATCGCCGTCATCATCGCCATCGTCATCATCATCATCATCACCATCGTCATCATCATCACCATTGTCATCAACATCATCACCATCGTCATCATCATCCCCATCATCAACATCATCGCCATCGTCATCATGAGCCTGGTGGTGGTGGTGGTGGTGGCTCCACTGTTGGTCTGTAACCCAGCGCTGGTGACACAAAGGGTTGCTGGATCGCCGCTGGAATGTCGCGACACTTCCTTGGGGGGCCGCGGAGGTGGCAGCCGTGCCTGGCTCGCCAGGTGAAGGCGGCGTAGCAGGAGCGTCATCTCCACCTGTTCCCTCTGTGTGGGATCGAGTGTTGCTCCCTTGCACACGGCTAAATACGCAATGCATTGCGCCGACAAACACCGTCATACGTAGAGGACCGCAGAGCTTGGTGGGGGATCGTTAGCAGCGACGGCTCCTCGCCACCGCGTGGCCCCCTGACGCCTCCTTTGAGTCGCCCCCTGTCTCTCTCTCTGAGTCGTCCTCTCTCTCTCTCTGAGTCGCCCACTGTCTCTCTCTCTGAGTCGTCCTCTCTCTCTCTGAGTCGCCCCCTGTCTCTCTCTCTCTGAGTCGTCCTCTCTCTCTCTCTCTGAGTCGTTCTCTCTCTCTCTGAGTCGTCCCCTCTCGCTCTCTCTCTGAGTCGTCCTCTCTCTCTCTCTGAGTCATCCTCTCTCTGTCTCTCTCTCTGAGTCGTCCTCTCTCTCTGAGTCGTCCCCTCTTGCTCTCTCTCTGAGTCATCCTCTCTCTCTCTCTGAGTCGTCCTCTCTCTCTGAGTCGTCCTCTCTCTCTCTGAGTCGTCCTCTCTCTCTCTCTGAGTCGTCCTCTCTCTCTGAGGCGTCCTCTCTCTCTCTGAGTCGTCCTTTCTCTACTATTAGTATCACCATCGTCGTCATCACTTCTCCCGTTGATCAACCACCGCATCCCCCCACAGGTCCAGCTGTACCACGTGGCGTGCGGACGAGTGAGGGAGTCAGCACACGTAGAGGTCGTCCACTCTGTCCGCGTGACCACCGCCACCACCACCACCGCCGCCACCACCGCCGACACCACCACCGCCGACACCACCGCCGGCAGCGGCAGCGGCGGCGGTGCCGCCACGGTCATGAGCACCACGTGGGTGCCCTGCGCGTCGGCCGCCAGCGCCCGACCCACGTGGTTCCAGAGCAGCCACCTGGGCGGGGTGTTCCACCTGCAGGCCGGCAGCTCGGTGGCCGTGCACGTGACCCACGGCGACGTCGTGGCGGACAAGAGGGAGTGGAACTTCTTCGGGGCGTTCTTGCTCTGACCGCCTCCTCCATCTTCCTCCTTCGTCTCGCTCCTCCTCATCCTCATCCTCCTCCTCATCCTCCTCCTCATCCTCATCCTCCTCCTCCCGTGGCGTTTGCCGTCGAAGATTGGGAGGTCGCCCTCCACCAGAGCCGCTGGCGTGCAGATCCTCAGCACCCCCACCCAGTCCCCCAACCCCCCCCCACCCCCC